TGTGTGTGTGTGTGTGTGTTTTGTATAAATGGGGTCTCAATATGTTGCCCAGGCTGCTCCCTAACTCCTGGCCTCAAGTGATCCTCACATCTCAGCTTCCCAAAGTGCTGGGATTATAGGTGTGGGCCTGGCCTATAATTATTGTTTGTTTGTTTATTTATTTTTTGAGGTGGAGTTTTGCTTTTGTTGCCCAGGCTGGAGTGCAATAGTGCGATCTTGGCTGCAACCTCCACCTCCCAGGTTCAAGCAAATCTCCTGCCTCAGCCTCCCTAGTTGCTGGGATTACAGGCACCCACCACCACACCTGGCTAATTTTTGTATTTTCAGTAGAGATGGGGTTTCACCATGTTGGCCAGCCTGGTCTTGAGCTCCTGACCTTGTGATCCGCCCACCTTGGCCTCCCAAAGTGCTGGGATTACAGGCGTGAGCTACCGCGCCCGGCCTAATGATAGTTTTTAAAGAGGAAAACAGAGAACATAGACTGAAATTTTAGAAACAGAATTTATTTTGTATGACTCTCAGTTTTCAGAAAATGAAGTTAACTAGAGCAATAGCAATAATAACTACCACTGATTGAACATTTGTTATGTACCAGGCCCTGTAATAAGCATTTTATATTTTCTGTCACTTAATTTTCCTGATAACTCCACAGGGTTACTCATCCCTTAGTGGCAGAGCTGGGATTTGTTTTTTTGTTTTTTTGTTTTTTTTTGAGATAGAGTCTCGCTCTGTTGGCTAGGCTGGCATGCAGGGGCATGATCTCAACTCTCTCCAATCTCCGCCTCCTGGGTTTAAGCAATTCTCCTGCCTCAGCCTCCCCAGTGGCTAGGATTACAGCCATGTGTCACCACGCCTGGCTAAGTTTTGTATTTTTAGTAGAGACTGGATTTCACCATGTTGTCCAGTCTGGTCTCAAACTCCTGATGTCAGGTGATCCGCCTGCCTTGGCCTCCCAAAGTGCTGGGATTACAGATGTGAGCCACTGTGCCCGGCCTCAGAACTCGGATTTGAATGCGGGACCATCTATCTGTAAAGTCTTGGCTATTGAATCACTGTCTTTTTGTGAAAAATAGAGGTTTCACAGCAAGACACCAAATGGAAACTACTCAAAAACTCTCTGGGGAATCTTAGGGGGTCTTGAACCAACAAGACTCCACTCTAAAACCAATTTTTGCAGGGGCAGGGGAAGGGTCTTAAGAGCTCCTTCTCCACCCACAACACAGAAGGGCACATTTTGTTTCCCCACTAACTCCAAAGGTTAAACGAGTCTCTTTCTTGGGTTGGCTTAAGTGTTGGCTACAAGGTGACAGATGAAAGGTGATTTCAAGGACTCTGCCATCTTGTGATGTTGTAAAAGGGATGGTCCAATTCGCAAATCATAAGACTGAGTACACAAGCGATTTCTAGCTATTTTCTGCTTAAATCTGTTTGTGTTTGCATAGCAAATATTCACATTGACCAATGAGTTACGGGACTCTGGAGCAACCATCAGAACAGCCATCTACATCGCAGCAGGGATCTCTGCTGGGCTGGCTCTGGCTCTTATCTTTGGCGCTTTAATTTTCAAATGTAAGTGTTTTTTGTTTCTCTCTCCTTCTGATAACAAATTCTTAAACGAGAACCAGTAAAACCTAGATAGAAACGCAAATTCATGTTTATACCCAAAGGTGATTAGACTAAATACCCTTTTGTCCATCCAAATCCTAACAATAATGGCTAATTTTGATTTAATATTTATTGTGTGCCAGGCAGGCACTGCGTTAAATGTTTTACATACATTTTATCATCCTTACTGTCTAATGAGGTAAGGAATAGTGCCATCCCATTTTACAGCGGAGGGAAGTCGAGCTTAGAGTAAGCTGCCTTCCCAAGGTTTCAATATCAGTACCTGGCAGAACCGAATTCAAATCCAGGCAGGCTGATTCCAGCAAACCAATTTCTTTACTTCATGAATATGCTAGGTTTATTAGGAAACACAGCAGCAAAAAACGCTCCCTTCCATGCACTTTTCTGTTACTGGTTTCTCAGGCATACCTCTTTGGGAGTAGATTGCAAGTCCGTTTAATACTGGGTCATTGGCCGGGCGCGGTGGCTCAAGCTTGTAATCCCAGCACTTTGGGAGGCCAAGACGTCCGGATCACAAGGTCAGGAGATCGAGACCATCCTGGCTAACCGGTGAAACTCCGTCTCTACTAAAAAATACAAAAAACTAGCCAGGCAAGGTGGCGGGCGCCTGTAGTCCCAGCTACTCGGGAGGCTGAGGCAGGAGAATGGCGTGAACCAGAAAGGCGGAGCTTGCAGTGAGCTGAGATCCGGCCACTGCACTCCAGCCTGGGCGACAAAGCGAGACTCCGTCTCAAAAAACAAAAACAAAACAAAAAAAACACTGGGTCATGATTGGGGTTACAGAATGTTTTCCTCCATCATGGTACTTAGCACATAGCTTTTTCTAAGTTACTTGTCCTTAAAAAAAAAAAACCCACAAAAACAGAAAAACAACAACAACAACAACAAAAAAACAGGCCCTGTGTGGTGGCTTATGCCTGTAATCCCAGCACTTTGGGAGACTGAGGCAGGTGGATCATTTGAGGTCAGGAGTTCAAGACCAGCTTGGCCAACATGGTGAGACCCCATCTCTACTAAAAATACAAAATTAACCGGGTGTGGTGGCGCATGCCTGTAATCCCAGCTACTCGGGAGGCTGAGGCAGGGGAATCACTTGAACCTGGCAGGTAGAGGTTGCAGTGAGCTCAGATCTTGCTACTGCATGCCAGCCTGGGCGAAAGAGTGAGACTCTGTCTTAAAAAAATAATAGTAATAAAATATAAATAAATAAGCAAATAAATAAATAAATACAATGGCCGGGTGCAGTGGCTCATGCCTGTAATTTCAACACTTTCGGAGGCTGAGGTGAGAGGATCAGTTGAGCCCAGGTGTTTGAGACCAAGATCAGCATGGGCAACAAAGCAGGATGCTGTCTGTACACAGTAATAATAATAATAACGAGGTGAGCATGGTGGCACACACCTGTAGTCCCATTTACTCAGGAGGCTGAGGTGGGAGGATCACTTGAGCCCAGGAGGCTGCAGTGAGCTGTGATTGCATCTTTGCAGTCCAGCCTGGGCCACAGAGTGAGACAGTCTCCAAAAAAAAAAAAAAAGTGTGTTCAAGTTGATGAATTTTGATGAAGAATTACAGTAGGAAGCCATCACCACAATCAAGATCTAAATAATACTTCCATTACCCCCAAAACCTCGCACACTTTTCTTTCTTTCTTTCTTTCTTTCTTTCTTTCTTTCTTTCTTTCTTTCTTTCTTTCTTTCTTTCTTTCTTTCTCTCTTTCTCTCTTTCTCTCTTTCTCTCTTTCTCTCTTTCTCTCTTTCTCTCTTTCTTTCTTTTTTTTGAGATGGAGGCTGGAGTGCAGTGGCGCGATCTCAGCTCACTGCAACCTCCGCCTCCTGGGTTCAAGTGTTTCTCCTGACTCAGCTTCCAGAGTAGCTGTGACAACAGGTGCGTACCACCAGGCCCCAGAGTGTAATACAACATAGCTGCCTTTCTTACTAATACGCAAACAGGGACTGTCTGTGTGGAGTGAGCAATCACCTCAGACTGGCTTAAGACTAAAGGGTGTTCCTAAGATGTGTGAGACTTCTAGAGCTAAAACTGGAACAGCCCAAGAAAAACAGGGATGAGTTGGTCACCCCACTAACTGTGGACTGAAGCTGCTAAGTGCTTTACGTGCATTAAATTCTCGTAGCTACCCTATGTTTCTAATGGAGAATCGGCATGCTAAAAGGTTAGGTCACTTGCCTGCATTACACAGTTAATTGATAGATATAGGAATTGAAACCAGGACTGTCCTGCTCCTCACCGTTATGGTTTCTGCCACTCTTGTTGCCCAGGCTGGAGTGTAATGGTGCAACCTTGACTCACTGTAACCTCCACCTCCCGGGTTCAAGTGATTCTTCCACCTCAGCCTCCTGAGTAGCTGGGATTTCAGGCATGCACCACTACGCCTGGCTAACTTTGTATTTTTAGTAGATGGGGGTTTCACCATGTTGGCCAGGCTGGTCTCAAACTCTTGACCTCAGGTGATCCACCCACCTTGGCCTCCCAAAGTGCTGGGATTATAGGCGTGAGCCACTGTTCCCAGCCTGATACCTTTATCTTTATTATAGTCAGCCTTTTAAGTTGATCACTCATTCTGGAAAGTCGTCCTTCTCTTGGCTTCTGAAATGACATTCTCCTATTTGATCCATTGCTTTTCAGTTCTTCTGCCTGATCCTTAGATGTTGAGATTCCTTAGGGCTGGGTATGGTGGTGGACACCTATAGTCCCAGCTACTCAGGCGCCTGAAGCAGGAGGATCACTTGAGCCCAGGAGTTTGAGGCTGTGAACTAGGATCTTGCTGTTGCATTCCAGCCTGGGTGACACAGGGAGACTCTGTCTCAAAGAAAAACAACAACAAAAGATTCCTGCACTCTTCCTCCAACATATATCTAAAGTAGTTTCATTGTTCTGCATCTCTTTTGGCCATTACCTTACTCCAAGGCATCATTATCTCTACTTAATTTATCTTCTCATTTCTTTATTCCTCCTTCTAATCCAATATTAAAACCCAAATCAATATCTGAGCACAATGGCTCATGCCTATAATCCTAAGACTTGGGGAGGCCAAGACAGGAGAGTCACTTGAGGCCAGGAGTTTGAGACTAGCCTGGGCAACATATTGAGATTCACCCAGGCTGCAGTGCAGTGGTGCGATCCCAGCTCACTGCAACCTCTACCTCCCGAGTTCGAGTGACCCACCTGCCTCCGCCTCCAAGTAGCTTGGACCACAGGCATGTGCCAGCACACCTGGCTAGTTTTTGTATTTTTAGTAGAGATGAGGTTTTGCCATGTTGCCCAGGCTGGTCTCGAACTCCCAAGCTCAAGAAATCTGCCTGCCTTGCCTCCCAAAGTGTTAGGATCACAGGCGTGAGCCACTGCATCTAGCCCAAAAACATTTAAAAAATTATCCAGCTGTGGTGGTGTGCACCTATATTCTAGCTATTCAGAAGCTGAGATGGGTAGAACCCTTGAGCCCAGGAGTTCAAAGTTGCAATCGGATATGATCTTGCCACTGCATTCCAGCCTGGCCAATAAAGCACGACCCTGTCTCCAAAAAAAAAAAAAAAAAAGAGAAAAAGAAAAATTTTCAGTTTCAAATATTTGAAACTGCATCCCCAGAAGATACCTTGAAAGAGATCATGAAAGACCTTGATCCAGAGGTACCCAGTAAGCCACACCTGAATTCCTGACGCACAACATGGAAATTATGAGATAAGGAAGTTGTTTTCAGCGGCTAAAAGAAACCCAAAACAAATAAGGATCACATCTCTGCCCTTTAAGGAAATCTAAGTTTCCTACAGGTCTTAGAATCGAATACAGATTCCTGATTATGGCTGGAAAGGTTTTGTTAGACCTAGCCCCAGCCTACCTTTCAGATCTTATCTTGGGCCCCTCCCTTAGTCCAGCCATGTTTTCAGTTTCAGGCATTCAGCAAGATATTTACAGAGGGTTCCCTCGTCCTGGAATGCTCCTTCTGGCTCTCTACTTGGCTGACTCATTTCAGAAGTGAGCTTAAAGGTCATCTCTGAGGGTCCTTCCCTGACCACCCTCTCTATTATCTGTTTCAATATGATGTTGGTTTCCTTTATAATACATCATAATTTGAAATTTTTTTTTTTTTTCCTATTTACTGTTTCCTTTTTTTTTTTTTTTTTTTTTCTGAGATGGAGTTTCGCTCTTGTTGCCCAGGCTGGAGTGCAATGGCTCATTCTTGGCTCACCGCAACCTCCGCCTCCCGGGTTCATGCGATTCTCCTGCCTCAGCCTCCCGAATAGCTGGGGTTACAAGCATGGGCCACCACACCCGGCTAATTTTGTATTTTTAGTAGAGACGGGGTTTCTCCATGTTGGTCAGGCTGGTCTTGGGTCTGGGGTACTGTTTTCTTTTATTTCTTTGGTCTCCCACAGGAGAACGTAAGCTTCATGAAATTAGGGCTCACAATTCACTTTTACGTTCCTGTGTTCCTCGTGCCAAGCAAACTGCCAGACACATAGTAGAGGCCTCATAATTGTTAAATAAGAAAAATGCATCTTTATTATTATTTTCTAGCCAGTCCATATAATTATCTAAGGCACATATTGAGAGTTTCATTCAACTCAATCTAAGGTGAGACCAGATTTCCCTGAACAATGCATGCCTCCAGTGAGCCTGTTTGATTTCTTGTCTCATTTATTTTATGAAGGCATTTTTATTGACTTTTCTTTCCCCCTTTATCTAGGGTATTCTCATAGCAAAGAGAAGACACAGAATTTAAGGTAAGAATAATGGAATGGGGTTGGGGAAAGGTGAGAATCTTGGCAGTCCATACTCTTAACATGTCTGATCTTTACTCTGAGAAGTCCTGTCCTGGGGCTTTGAGATCTGAATTTATACTTCCTTTTTCCTCTAGGTCTAGTTATGAAGAGAAAATGTAACATACTGCTGTGTTTACTTCCTGATACCTTTAGCTTCTTTAGTTCTAAAGTTAAGGTATACAATTTATCTTCCTAATAATACAACATGCTTATTCATCTCGATATTAATGGTTTTTCCAATGAACTGAAACATCAACGGATTGAGCTCCTATTATATCCAGGGTCTGGGCTGAACTTTGGCATTAGAGAAGTGAGCAAGACACCCAGTATCTGTTCTCAGCATTTCTGTAAACCAGCCCAGGCATTTTCAACTTTGGTTTCCTATTAGAATCACCCGGGCACCGAAGTGTACTAATGCAGGGCCAACCCCAGAGCAACTGAGTCAGAATCTCTGGGGATGAAGCCTAAGCATAGATAATGTTCTAAAAGCTCTCCAGGTGATTCTAATGAACAATCAGGGCTAAGAACTGCTAGTCTATTACAGACTCCTGTCTTAACCTTCATTCCTGATTATGCACACACACACATCCCTTTCAAATAGGTATGGCTTACGTAACTTACTAGATTTTAGACTTTTAGTGATGTTTGGCACACGAATGGGATGCAATATATTTGGATTACAAAAATGACTCTGGGCCAGGTGCTGTGGCTTACACTTATAAGCCCAGGACTTTGGGAGGCTGAGGTGGGAGGATCACATGAGCCCAGGAGTTCGAGACCAGCCTGGGCAACATAATGAGACCTCTTCTTTACAAAAAATAGAAAAATTAGGTGGAAAGATTGCTGGAGCACAGGAGATGAAGGCTGCAATGAGCCATGATTGTGCCACTACACTCCCACTTGGGTGACAGAGAAAGACCCGCATCAAATAAAACAAAACAAAATCTTCTGAACATTGAATGCTATCTAAAGCATTAATAATTCTTTTTTTTTTTTTTTTGAGACAGGGTCTTGCTGTGTCACCCAGGCTGGAGTGCAGTAGTGTGATCTCTGCTTACTGTAACCTCTGCCTCCTGGGTTCAAGTGATTCTCTGCATCAGCCTCCCGAGTGGCTGGGATTACAGGTGCACGCCACCATGCTGGCTAATTTTTTTGTATCTTTAGTAGAGGTGGGGTTTCACCATGTTGGCCAGGCTGGTCTCGAACTCCTGACCTCGTGATCCACCCACCTCAGCCTCCCAAAGTGCTAGGATTACAGGCGTGAGCCATGGTGCCAGGCCCATTTTTTAAAAATCTAAATGTGTACATAATTGCAGACATCTTGACACTTCACCTAAACTTCAGCGTGCAACTCCTAGAAATAAAGATATTCTCTGAGCTATCACAATGCTATTGTTATACCTAAGAAAATTAAAATTAATGAGAATTTTCTCAATTGTTTCCCCATAGTATTTTATTGCTGTTTCTTGGCTTTCCCCGTTGTTCAGCATCTGATCAAAGATCATGCACTGTATTTAGTTGCTGTCTCTTTGGGAAAGCCTATTCTCTTAACTCGATTCCATGTTACCTGGGAAATGCTTAACTCAGCTTCAACACTTTATTTCCACAGCCTCATCTCTTTGGCCAACATCCCTCCCTCAGGATTGGCAAATGCAGTAGCAGAGGGAATTCGCTCAGAAGAAAACATCTATACCATTGAGGAGGGCGTATATGAAGTGGAGGAGCCCAATGAGTATTACTGCTATGTCAGCAGTGGGCAGCAACCCTCACAACCTTCGGGTTGTCGCTTTGCAGTGCCATAGATCCAACCACCTTATTTTTGAGCTTTGTATTGTCTTTTTCAGAAACTGTGGGCTGTGTCAGCTGACTGGTTTTGGAGGTTCTGTCCCCTGCCATGGAGCAGAGTTTTCCCATTTTCGGAAGATAATGAGTCACATGGGAATTGAACTGGGACCTGCCCTGAACTTAAACAGGCATGTCATTGCCTCTGTATTTAAACCAACAGAGTTACCCAACCCAGAGACTGTTAATCATGGATGTTAGAGCTCAAACGGGCTTTTATATACACTAGAAATTCTTGACGTGGGGTCTCTGGAGCTCCGGGAAATTAGGGCACATCTTATGTCCATGAAACTTCAGATAAACTAGGGAAAACTAGGTGCTGGGGTGAATGCATAACTTTTTTGGCACAGAAAGTCTAAAGGGGCCACTGATTTTCAAAGAGATCTGTGATCCATTTTTTTGTTGTTGTTTTTTGAGACGGAGTCTCACTGTGTTGCCCAGGCTGGAGTGCAATGGCACAATCTTGGCTCACTGCGACCTCCGCCTCCTGGGTTCAAGTGATTCTGCTGCCTCAGCTTCCCCAGTAGCTGGGATTACAGGCATGCACTAACACACCCAACTAATTTTTTGTATTTTTAGTAGAGACAGGGTTTCACCATGTTGGACAGGCTGGTCTCGAACTTCTGACCTCGTGATTCACCCGCCTCAGCCTCCCAAAGCACTGGGATTACAGGCGTGAGCCACTGCATCTGGCCAGGTCTACCTTGATCTTGAAGATTCCCTCAGAATATTGAGGTTTAGGCTTCTTTGAGCACTACCTGTCCAACTGTCAGTGGCAGTGCACAACCCTTCTTTTGCCTCCCTTATGAAGACTGCCCTGCAGGGTTGAGATGTGGCAGGAGCTCCCGGGGAAAAAGGAAGTGCATTCAATTAGTGTGTATTGCCAAGTTTCACTTGTTGTGCTCTTGAAAGAAAATATCTCTGACCAACTTCTGTATTTGTGGACCAAACTGAAGCTATATTTTTTGCAGAAGAAGAAGCAGTGACTGGGACACAAATTCTGTTGTCTGGTGGAAAGAAGGCAAAGGCCTTCAGCAATCTATACTGCCAGTGCTGGATCCCTTGATAGAGAGTGGTCCTTAAACTTAAATTTCAAGGTGGTAAAGACTTGGTCTGTCTTGCTTATTGTTGCCCCCAGTGCCTGGCACAATTGTGACACACAATTGGAACTTACTAAAAATTTTTTTTACTGTTTTTTGTTTGTTTGTTTTTTGAGATAGAATCTCACTCCATCACACAGGCTGGAGTGCAGTGGCATGATCTTCACTTCAGCCTTGACCTCCTGGGTACAATTCATCCTTCGGCCTCAGCCTCCCCAGTAGCTGGGACTATAGCCATGCACCACCACGCTAGGCTAATTTGCACAGTTTTGGAAGAGACAAGGTTTCACCATGTTGGCTAGGCTGGTCTCAAATTCCTGGGCTCAAGCGATCCCCCCTGCCTCAACTTCCCAAAGTGCTGAGATTTTAGGTGTGAGCCACCATGCCCGGCCTAAATATTTCTGGAGCAAAAAAATTAATCAGAAAGGTAACTTTCTGGAAGACTTCCATTAGAGTGCTCAGACAGAGTGTGACTCTGCAAGTTCACTTCTTAGAGAACTCACAAATACCCAGAAGCTTCCATATTCACTCTGTGTTTTGAGACAGAGTCTCAGTCTGTTGCCCAGGCTGTAGTGCAGTGGCACAAGCTCGGCTCACTGCAACCTGCGCCTCCTGGGTTCAAGAAATTCTCCTGCCTCAGCCTCCTGAGTAGCTGGGACTACAGGCGTGCGCCACCACACCCAGCTAATTTTTGTATTTGTATTAGAGATGGGGTTCACTATGTTGGCCAGGCTGGTCCCAAATTCCTGAATGCGTGATCCTCCCGCCTCGACCTCCCAAAGTGCTAGGATTACAGTTGTGACCCACTGCTCTCAGACCCACATTAACTCTCATCCAGGCCAAAGTGGCCTTTGTTTTTCAACATTGTTCAGCTCAGGCCTTTGTTGGGGTCTTACTCTTTTGTCTAGTTCCCTTTTTCTGCTGAGCCATCCTCAGCACACAGGAATGAATTAACAATGTGGGCCTATCACTGCCTAAAAACTGCTCCTCCCCAGGTGATGACTAAGCTGTGATTGTGTTGCATGCAGAAGATGTTGGCCAGCAAGGCTGTAGCCAGCCTGCTTGTTTCTGGAAGTCTTTCTGACAGTCTTGTGTGAATTAGAGTGTCGGGCTGCATCTAGATAGTTTTGGGAGGGACTGGCATTCTGTAGGGAGATACGTAAGGGAGATCATTTTACCAAATTAATTATAGGGAGCAGCTCATACAGGCTAAAAAATTAATCTTAAGTGTCTTTTTAATTTTTTTGACATAGAGTCTTGCTCTGTCACCCAGGCTGGAGTGCAATGGTATAATCTCGGCTCACTGCAACCTCCACCTCCTGAGTTCAAGCGATTCTCCTACCTAAACCTCCTGGATAGCTGGGATTACAGGTGCCTATCACCACGCTCAGTTAATTTTTTGTATTTTTAGTAGAGATGGAGTTTACCCTGTTGGCCAGGCTGGTCTCGAAGTCATGACCTTAGGTGATCCACTCGCCTCTGCCTCCCAAAGTGCTGGGATTACAGGCGTGAGTTATTGTGCCCAGCCCATAAGTGTCTTAAGGTCGTGAAATTCTAGTGAGAAGAAACTTCAGGACACATTTGAAGCAGATCGATGGTCCCTCTCAAAAGACATTCTTATCCTACCAAAATCTTTAAATAAGGGTATGTGTACAAGGCCGATCATTGCAATGGTGTTTGCGGAGATTTTTACAATCAATAAGGAAATCATTGATTATAGTGTTATGTCAATACACTGGTGCAAGTAAAAAGAATTAGGTTGTTTTATCATTATGCTTTTTTGCTAATTCAACAAATACTTATTAAGTGCTTACTATGTGCAAAGCACTATGTACTTCTTTTTTTTTTCCTGTCAGATCAACTAGGAGTGCCATGGAGCCAGGAATGTGTCTATTCGGTCCCCTTCTGTTTTGTTTTGTTTTTGTTTTTTTAATTTTTTTTTTTTTGAGACAGAGTCTCACTCTGTTGCTCAGGCTGGAGTGCAGTGGTGCAATCTTGGCTCACTGCAGCCTTCGCCTCCTGGGTTTAAGTGATTCTCCTGTCCAGATGCTCACTGGAGTAGCTGGAATTACAGGCGTGCACCACCGTGCCTGGCTAATTTTTGTGTTTTTAATAGAGACAGGGTTTCACCACGTTGGTCAGGCTGATCTTGAACTCCTGGCCTCAAGTGACCTGCTCGCCTTGGCCTCTCAAAGTGCTAGGATTCCAGCCGTGAGCCACCATGCCCAGCGCATTCAGTGAATATTTATTGGCACCTACTTTATGCCAAACACTATTCTGGTCTCCAGAAATATAGCAGTGAATGAAGCAGTCAAAATCCTTGCTGTCATGGAACTTACTTATCAGAGAATGCTATGTAGTTAAGTTCAAAGGAAAAAAAAAAGGGTTCCATAATGGTATATATAACTGTTGAATTTGATTTTGCCTTAAAAATATGGAAGAATATACCCAAATGAATATGGTTACCAATGGAGACAAATAGTGAAGACTCACTTTTCCCTTTTTCATGTTTCTCCTATAGTTTGAATTATTTTCTCCATTTTCTTTTGTAATAAAAAAAAATTTTAAGCACTATAGCAATGTTTTTCTGTCCGCCCTCCTCATCAAAGAAATAAATGAAGACAAGGTCAAGGTCAAGATCAAGGTCATCAGTAGAGTGTGGCAGCAAACCAGGACTGGAACCCTGGTTTTCAAGGTGGAATCTCCCTTTACATCAACTATTTGGAATGCGAAAGATGGACACAGAAAAACAAAAAAGGGAGGGGAATTACTACAAAGGGCCCAGGAGATGGCAAATGATAACTTAGAGAATTAAAAACAGCCGGGCGAGGTGGCTCACGCCTGTAACCCCAGCACTTTGGGAGTTCGAGGTGAGTGGATCACCTGAGGCCAGGAGTTCGAGACCAGCCTGGCCAGCATGATGAAATCCCATCTCTATTAAAAGATACAAAAATTAGCCAGGCATGGTGGCAGGCACCTGTAATTCCAGCTACTTGGGAGGCTGAGGCAGGAGAATCACTTGAACCTGGGAGGCGGAGGCTGCAGTGAGCCAAGATCATGCCATTGCACTCTAGCCTGGGGACAAGAGCAAAACTGTCTCAAAAAAAAAAAAAAAAAGAATTAGAAACAGTGCAATATAGACCAGCATTGGGGTGCCATGTATACGCTGCCTCAGGCCACACCCGGTGTTCTGCACAGCAGTTCCCAAGCATGTGAGACAGATACGGTCTAAGGGAAGAGGCCCATGTGCCTGTCTTTTGCTGTATAAGGAAGGCTCTTCTAGCAATACTAGATCCCACTGAGGAACTCCCACCCTGGCATCTGAGCTCCTGATAGGCTGCTGGAGCTCCTGATTTGACAAAGGAGCTTGCCTTCTTTGAATGACCTAGAGCACAGGGAGGAACTTGTCCATTAATTTGGAACTGTGTTCTTCATAAAGACTGCGGCAAGCAAGTGCTGTGAAATAACATCTTAGTCCCTTCGTGTGTGTGTGTGTGTGTGTTTTTTAATATATTTTGAGAATAAAACTTCATATAACATTAAAATAAAAAAACAATGCGTTAAAATTGGATGTGTGGTTTGCTCTTAGAAATGCCTTAGGATTTTTCTTCCAGAGCTGCCCACAGAAAGCCCACAGGCTCTGGAAAGGGGGAGAGTCCCCGATCTTTTTAGACTGAAAAAAGTAAAGTCGACTGTGTTTTATCTGCCCATCGCTTCTAGATTTAGAATTCCTAAGGCAGAAATTCCAAGCAGGTCAATTGCTCAGTAATCGATTCAGATAACATCAAATCAATTTATATAAATGAAAATTGTTTTCTTTTTTTAATGTTATGAGCGAATGTATATATGGAAATCACTTATTGAATTTTTGTTTTTATTAATTTTATTCATTCTGCAGTCATGCAGATAAATTTTTAAACAGGTACAATTTACATACAATAAAATGCTCTCTTTTTTTCCTTTTTTCTTTGAGACAGAGTTTCCCTCTGTCTCTGAGGCTAGAGTGCAGTGGCTAATTTCTGTATTTTAGTATAGACAGGGTTTTGCCATGTTGGCCAGGTTGGTCTCAAACTCCTGGCCTCAAGTGATCTGCCCACCTTGGCCTCCCAAAGTGCTGGGATTATAGTCATGAGCCACCGCGCCTGGCCAAAATGTTCTCATTTTAAGCAGACAATTTAAATTACGCAAATAGGCCAGGCGCAGTGGCTCATGCCTATAATCCCTGCACTTTGGGAGGCTGAGGTGGGAGGATCACCTGAGGTCAGGAGTTCGAGACCAACCTGGCCAACATGATGAAACCCTGTCTCTACTAAAAATACAAAAATTAGCTGGGCGTGGTGGCAGGCGACTGTAATCCCAGCTACTCGGGAGGCTGAGGCAGGAGAACTTCTTGAACTCAGGAGGTGGAGGTTGCAGTGAGCCGAGATCGTACCATTGCACTCCAGCCTGGGGGACAAAAGCGAGACTTCATCTCAAAAGAAATACATAGATAAATAAATAAATAAAATTCCACAAATATACACCTATGTTAATACCACCCCAAGCAAGATATAAAACATTTCCACCATCTCGAAATATATTTGGAAGTTCAAAGGGT